TCAGAATCGCAATCAAAACGAAGACCAGAACCAGAGCCAGAACCAGAACCAGAACCAGAGACAGAGCAAGAACCAGAACCAGAACCAGAGACGGAGGCAGAGATAGAGCCAGGACCAGGAACAGAGATAGAGACAGAACCAGAACCATAGACAGAGACAGAGACAGAGACAGAGACAGAGACAGAGACAGAACCAGAACCAGAACCAGACCCAAAGACATAGACAGAGACTGAACCGGAACCAGAACCAGAACCAGAACCAGAACCAGAACCAGAAACAGAAACAGAGCCAGAGCCATAGCCAGAGCCAGAGCCGGAGCCAGAGCCAGAGCCAGAGCCAGAACCAGAACCAGACCTAGAACCAGAGAAAGAGATAGATCCAGAAAAAAAGAGAAAGAGACAGACCCAGAACCAGTTCAGAGCCAGAACCAGAACCAAAACTTGAACCAGAACCAGGACCAGAGACAGAGCCAGAGTCAGAACCAGAACCAGAACTAGAGCCAGAACCAGAACCAGATACAGAGCAAGACATAAAGAACCAGAGACAGAACTCTAGACAGAGCCAGAAGTACAACCAGAACAGAACCAGAACTAGAGAGAGAGAAAGACACAAAGAATCAGAGACAGAGCAAGAACCAAAACCAGAACCATAGACAAAGACAGAGCTAGAACCAGAAAGAGAGACAGAGACAAAGACAGAACCAGAAACAGAACCGGAGCCAGACACCAAGACAGAGACTGAGACAGACACAAAAAACAGAGACAGAAGGAGAACCAGAACCAAAAACAGAACCAGTGACAAAGTGCCAGAAACAGAGACATATTCAAAACTAAAACCAGAACAGAACCAGAATCAGAATGAAAATGAGGACCAGAACCAGAGACAGACACAAAGAACCAGAGACAGAACTAGAAACATAAACAGAGACAGAACCAGAGACTGAGCCAAAACCAGAACAGAACCAGAACCAGAGACACAACCAGAACCAGAGCCAGAGCCAGAGCCAGAGACAGGGCCAGAGCCAGAACCAGAGACAGAAACAAAGAACCA